CATAAAATAAAATTAAACTTGAACATGAAATAATGCACAGAAAAACATAAATGTGTCCAAAATAAACCATATATCCAGCTGTTGTACAATCTCTATATTTAAAAATAAAATAGATCTACTTATTTATATAAAAAAATATCCCAAAATAAATGTTGTTAAGCTTTAGGGCGACTCACACTAGGACTTTAGAACCGTGCTGATTGTTGTGGGTTCTATGTTCCGCAGTCGCACCTGCAGAACCGAACAACATGCTCCGGTCTTCAGTTTCACCGGCGCGTAAATCGTTTCAACTCGTTTATACACTGTTGGGCAAGTTACTTTGAAAATGTAATGTGTTATTTATTACCTATTACTGTCATTTCAAAGTAATTCGTTACATTACAATATTACAGCATTTAAAATGTAAGGCATTACATTACTATTGCATTACTTTAAGTTACTCTCACCAAAATAACTTTTGCGCTGTATATGGACTGAACCAGGTCTAAACCAGGTCTAAACCAGGACTAAACCAGGTCTAAACCAGGACTAAACCAGAGCTGAACCAGTACTAAACCAGAAGTGAACTAGGACTAAACCAGAACTGAACTAGGACTAAAACAGGACTCACTGTCAGGACGGGCTCGAAGGTGACGCAGGAGAAAGGAGCGGCTCTGCTCCGCACCTCACGGAGGTAAGAGCGGCTGTCGCCCGATCGCTCTTTATGGACCCTGCTGCTCGGGCTCGCGGTCCTGATTTCAACAACTATTTGCAGGTACAAGACCCGGTGCAAGAGTCTGTTACAGCGCGTAACTTCTACCTTCCTTCAGCGTGTCCAGAAGTCCAACTTTTTGTGTGATGGTTTGCATCTTCCTCTGTCTTTTGGGTGCGAGCGCAGGAGCCTTTGTCAGTGCAGAACGTTTCGTCGACGTTGTGGGTTTTCGTCGGGGAGAAAATCTGCAACCGTACAACACTTCAGAATCACACTGATACAGATTGAACATGTATTTAAATTTGGCAGCTGAACACATTCTGTACTGTACAGGAGACAGGAGTCCCTTGGCCAGTCAGGACGCAGCGGGAGGAACACAATACGCATTCATACAATGTAAAAAAAAAAGGGCATGCAAAATTGCACAAAAAAAACCCCAAAAAAACTGCGAAACAGCGAGACCGCGAAAAGTGAACTGCGATAGAGGGAGGGACGAGTGTAAACCAGGTCTAAACCAGAACTGACCCAGGTCTAAACCAGGTCTAAACCAGGTCTAAACAGCGTGGAGTTCTTTGTCAGTCCTTCCTTTTTACCTGAAGGTCTATGAGGAGCATCTCCGGCGTTTCACCGCTGCTGATATCGAGGTGATTTTAGCGAATTTGTATGAAGAAAAACCCACCACTTCAATCCAGGTTAAAAAAACAACATTGTAACGCGCGTTACTCACATTTGTACCGAGTAAAATATTACTATTTTTTCCCCTGTAATGCCGACATTACTGCGTTACAGCAAAAAGTAATGCATTACTGTAATTCGTTACTTTTATAACGCGTTACTCCCAACACTGCGTTTATATGAGTTTGGAGATTATTGGACACACAAATGGAAGTCGTGATCAAAATTAAATGAACTGCACAGACTTACTCCAGTTAAAACTTTCAAGTTAAATGACTTCTGTGTTGTTTTCCTGGTGGAGTCTCAGTTCAGGTCGGACATGTGGACGGGGATGTTTTTCATGTTATGGGCTCATTGTCATTTTTAGCAGTAAAAATTCCTCGTCCAGGTGTTTTCCCAGAGCAGGAAGTGCGGCTGCAGTAAAGAAGCGTGTCTGGACATGAGAGAGGAGCAGGAGAGAGGAGCATGCGGGGCCATCTGCAGGTGAGGAGGAGCCCTGTCCCCGTTTCGAGTCTTTATTCGGAGTTTAAAAGCATTTTTGTGATTAGAATCAGGATGTGTGGAAATGTTTTTACGGTGTGACTCTAGACAAACACAGCAAACCCACGACAGAGCAAAAAGTGAAGTGTTAAACTTGACTCTCATGGAATCAACTTTAACATTTTCTCAGGGTTTATATGAGTCTAATCTGTTCTATTTTTAGTTAATTTAACATTTTTGGAAAAGTTAATTAAGTAACACTGGACCAAAGTTCCTGTTTAACCCCAAAATCAAGAGTTATATTTACATTTTGAGAGTAAACGGATAACACTTTGTAGAGTTATCTTGATTTAACTAAACAACACACAGAGGTGTTTTATTTTTACACTTTATTTTAGGTAATTTAAGATAAAATTATGAACAAAACTGGTTCAAACTGGTCTTCTCTCACAGGAGATTGAAGTGGAGGGTGGAGGAGCTAAAATTAACACTAAGGGAAGTTAAATTATCTTCAGTCATATCAACTCTGGCACAAAAACAAAACAAAACAAAACAAAACTCACACCCCCATTTAACTTTCAAATGGTTAAAATAACACTTTTTGCGTTAAAACAACTCTGAAATATTTCACCCTGAAATTTTCCAAACAGGATGTGTTCCAAACAGGAAGTGAGCATGGGGGTGCTTCCTGCTCCACTGACTCAGCTACAATTCACTTTATATTGAAAACAGGGTTCCCACGGTCATGGAAATCCTGGAAAAGTCATGGAAATTGAAAATCAGTTTTCATTTTTCAGGCCTGGAAAAGTCATAGAATTTTAGTGTCTCTTTCACACAACTGCAGCGTTCTGTTAAGTTCTCATGAGTCTCCTCTGATTCTTTATGAACATCTGCGTCTTTTGTTTAAAAGAGACGACATTAAATGCACTGACAGGATTTTGAAAGTTAAAAACTATAATCCCAAACCATAAGGCAGGAGTCTCCAACCCGTAGCTCCGGAGCCACCAGTAGCTCTCCAGCTCCAGCTTTACATTGGAAAAATCTTGCGGCACATCACTAACCAAAATGTTACTAAATGACACTATACAGTTTATTTAATTACAATATAATTTCTACATTAATTTCTACTTACTCAGAGTGAGACCTGCGCCTGTTTAGATGAACACGAAGCTGATATCCTGCAGGAATAGAAGAAAGACACACACGAAGCTCTTTGTGGTGGATCCCTCTGCCACCGTCCATAGTGTCAGTATTATTTAATTTTCATTATTATTTACATTAAGTTAATTACACTACACATAATTTAATTCCGTTATTTAGACTTATGTTCTAATTTGAGTGCACGCATTTTAGTTAATATAAGTCTAATTTACTTACACTTGGTCTTTTTGGTTTTTTTGAGCACCGGACGGACGGACCCTGGGAGAGACCATCAGGACTCAGCAAAGGGGGGGAGCACTATTTAGTTTGTTTTACTAAGTTAATTTGTTTAGTTTGTGTTAAGGTCACATTATTATCACTTATTATTTTCTGTATTATAATTATTTGCTTTTTTGTTTACTTTGATTAAGTTATTGGTTTAGTTAGTTAATTAGTGTAATTCCTCCCTCTTGTGTTTAGCTTTAGTTGGTCCTCAGGTATTTAAACACACCTGTTCCTTTGTCTGGTTGGGTTAGTTTTGTTCTGTTCAGCTTGATTTTGAGTTACCCCAGTTGGGCCCAGCTTTTTTGTTAATAATTTGCCTAATTTGAGCCTTTGTTAAATTATATCTTTTTTGGCTTTATTAAATTTAAACTTATTTTTATACCTTGTCTTTGCCTTTCTGTTTGGTCCACTACACTCTTCATCAGCAGCTCTCAGTCTCTCTCTGTTTTTAGTTTTTATAGCAGTTAATGTTGAAACGCTCTTCTTCTGGGTCAGAATCTTGTCCAGGGCCCAGTTTGGAGTTTGCATTCGTCCATTTTAAAAACTTCTCCATGACTGACACCACGCACATGTGTTACTAATTCTTTTAAAGGAACGAGGCAATTAGCTTCCTGTTGCCACCCGGACCAATATTAGATCACTCTGCCAGTCATTATATATACAACACTGTACTACAGCACGGACACTCCACAAGGACATAATATGTGCAGGTAATAATTCATAAATTTTAATTTTAAAAAAGGTGATATTGGATCATTTCTCACGGCACACCTGACGATCTGTCACGGCTCTACAGGACAGTAGTGCAGACATCATGAGCCTGTGCAGTTTGTTTTCACCAGCGCCAGTAGCTCCCGTTTGACATTTAAGTTGTAGGCGATTTTATATTTGTTATTTTCTTTTATATCTCACGTCGGGAGAAGAATTTCCAAGACACAAATGTGTTTTTACCTGTGCGCTGCTGCCTCTGTTCTACTGGCTCTTCCACCTCGTCCACTGTGACTGACGCCGCCAACGTGAACATGACGTTTACATCGCTCTTACCGCCGTGTTCTGTGTGGGTTTCCAGTAATGAGAAGAATTACCAAAATAAAAAATAAATAAATGGGATGTAGCACAAAATGTGAAAACGGGAAAATACTGCCGTGTAATCCACTTATTTCAGCAAAGTAACTGTAATCCAGTTACCAAGGAAAATTCACTTTAGATCATGAAAAAGTCATGGAAAAGATTTGAAATTTTGCTTTTCTCCATGGAGATGTTATCGCTTTGTCTGGATTGTTTCACAGTATGCCTTTAAACCTTTCTATCTTCATGGAGACCAAACCAGACCAAGTCACAGGTCAGATCTGTGGAGAGGCGACCCCGCTCACTGTCAGAATCTCTTTTATTCGAGGTATTTTTAAGCTTTAAAACAGGACTAAAAGCTCCAAGTCATTTTTTGTTCATTGAGTTAATTCACTGCTTTATTATTTATACAAATGAATGTTTTATTAAGACGTCATTAACTAAATATAATAGGCCGGTAACACAGAGAACAAGTATAAAATGTAATAAAGAACCGTTCAATAAATAGGCCTCATGTTTCACCACATGATGAGAACTTTAATAGAAAAAGAGTAAAAAAGGTCACGAGTTCAGGTCAAACGCAGCAGCGCAGTGGAAGAAGAGAATCACAGTTTAGTGCAAAATAAATCATTTCATTTAAATTATATGTATTTTTGTCGGTTTTTGGTCTTTCATAACTGTTTCTGTGGAACTCGATGAGGCCTGGAATCTTTCAACGGAATTCAACCAAAACCTCAAATCTGCTCTTATTATGTTTGAATTACTCTGATGATGATCTGATCAGATGTCGTGTGGTCAGGTGGTTGTTGGAGTTGGAGTCAGAGTCGGTTCTGCGGTGTGTTTCAGGAGAACATGAGGACCTTCTGCAGAGTCCTCCGGATGCCCTCCCGCTCATCCGGGACAGAGTCTGGGATCATTCCCGCGCTCCTCTCCGCGCTCAGACGGAGTTCGGGTCGGCTCTGCCTCACTCGCTGGAGGCCGCTCTGGGAGATGTTCCTGCAGAAGTCCACCCTGACCTCCTCCAGGCTGCTCCCGAAGCTCAGCAGACCGTCCAGGGCGGCGTCCGTGATCCTCACACAGTTCTCCAGGTGAAGGCGTCTCAGTCTGGAGCAGCTCTGAAGGACGGAGAGCACGTCCTGGTCTGAGACGTGAGCGCAGCCCGACAGGCTCAGCTCCAGGAGGTGAGGACACCTGCAGGTCAGAGGAGGAACTGTCAGAGGAATGTACCAGGGCAAAGACGGACACAAGAACAACAACCACAAGAACAAGAACCACAAGAACCACTAGAACCACAACAAGAACAAGAACCACTAGAACACAAGAACCACAAGAACAAGAACCACTAGAACCACTAGAACAACAACAACAACAAGAACAAGAACAAGAACCACTAGAACCACAAGAACAAGAACCACTAGAACCACTAGAACCACTAGAAGAACCACTAGAACCACAAGAACCACTAGAACCACAAGAACACAAGAACCACTAGAACCACAAGAACCACAAGAACCACTAGAACCACTAGAACAAGAACCAAGAACCACAAGAACCACAAGAACCACTAGAACCACAAGAACCACAAGAACCACTAGAACCACAAGAACAAGAACCACTAGAGACACACAAGAACCACTAAGAACCACTAGAACCACAAGAACCACTAGAACCACTAGAACCACTAGAACCACACAAGAACCACTAGAACTAGAACCACTAGAACCACTAGAACCACTAGAACCACTAGAACAAGAACCACTAGAACCACACAAGAGAACAAGAAACCACTAGAACCACAAGAACCACTAGAACCACAAGAACCACTAGAACACTAGAAACACTAGAACAACAAGAAACAAGAACCACTACAAGAACCACAAGAACCACTAAGAACCCACAAGAACCACTAGAACCACAAGAACCACAAGAACCACTAGAACCACTAGAACACTAGAACTAGAAGCACAACCACTAGAACCACTAGAACCACAAGAACACTAGAGACACAAGAACACTAGAACCACTAGAACCACAAGAACACACAAGAACAAGAACCACTAGAACACAGAACAAGAACCACTAGAACCACTAGAACAAGAACAAGAACACAACACAGAACAAGAACCACTAGAACCACTAGAACCACAGAAACTAGAACCACAAGAACCACTAGAACCACTAGAACACAAGAACCACAAGAACACACAGAACACAAGAACACAAGAACCACTAAGAACCACTAGAACCACTAGAACACAACCACAAGAACCACAAGAACCACTAGAACTAGAACACTAGAACACACAGAACACTAGAACCACTAGAACCACTAGAACCACAAGAACAAGAACAAGAACAAGAACCACTAGAACCACAAGAACCACTAGAACCACTAGAACAAGAACCACAAGAACCACTAGAACCACTAGAACAGAACCACTAGAACAAGAACAAGAACCACTAGAACCACTAGAACACTAGAACCACAAGAACAAACAACCACTAGAACACAAGAACAAGAACCACTAGACACAAGAACCACTAGAACCACAAGAACCACTAGAACCACTAGAAACAAACCACAAGAACCACTAGAACACAAGAACAAGAACAAGAACCACTAGAACACAAGAACAGAACAAGAACAAGAACAAGAACCACTAGAACCACAAGAACAAACAAGAACAAGAACCACTAGAACCACTAGAACCACAGAACCACAAGAAACAGAACACTAGAACACAAGAACCACTAGAACCACTAGAACCACAAGAACAAGAACCACTAGAACCACTAGAACAACAACCACAAGAACCACAAGAACCACTAGAACCACAAGAACCACTAGAACCACAAGAACCACTAGAACCACTAGAACCACAAGAACAACAACCAAGAACACTAGAACAAGAACCACTAGAACCACTAGAACCACAAGAACCACTAGAACCACTAGAACAAGAACCACTAGAACCACTAGAAAGAACCACTAGAACCACAAGAACCACAAGAACCACTAGAACAAGAACCACTAGAACCACAAGAACCACTAGAACAAGAACCACAAGAACACTAGAACCACAAGAACCACTAGAACCACTAGAACAAGAACCACTAGAACCACAAGAACCACTAGAACCACTAGAACAGAACAAGAACCACTAGAACCACTAGAACCACTAGAACCACTAGAACAAGAACCACAAGAACCACTAGAACCACTAGAACAAGAACCACTAGAACAAGAACACTAGAACAAGAACCACTAGAACCACTAGAACAAGAACAAGAACACTAGAACCACAAGAAACAAGAACCACTAGAACCACAAGAACACAAGAACAAGAACACAAGAACCACTAGAACCACAAGAACCACAAGAACCACTAGAACCACTAGAACCACTAGAACAACAACCAGAACCAGAACTGTGGGTGATAACAAAGGCACACAAAAAAATCAATAAATCAATAAATAATAATAATAATATAATAATAATAATAATAATATTCCCAATATATATATATATAATTTTGTTATCCGATAAAAAAAAAAAAAAATAAATTATTGTAAAAAATTTAATTTCATCCTGGTTTAGTCCTGGTTTAGTCCTGGTTTAGTCCTGGTTTAGACCTGGTTTAGTCCTGGTCCTGGTTTAGACCTGGTTTAGTCCTGGTTTAGTCCTTGGTTTCCTGTCCTGGTTTAGTCCCTGGTTTAGTCCTGGTTTAGTCCTGGTTTAGAGTCCTGGTTTAGACCTGGTTTAGTTTCCTTGTTAGTCCTGGTTTAGTCCTGGTTTAGTCCTGGTTCCTGGTTTAGACCTGGTTTAGACCTGGTTTAGTCCTGGTTTAGAGTCCTGGTTTAGACCTGGTTTAGACCTGGTTTAGTCCTGGTTTTAGTCCTGGTTTAGTTTACCTGGTTTAGTCCTGGTTTAGTCCTGGTTTATTCCTGGTTTAGTCCTGGTTCAGTCCTTGGTTTCGGTTCTGGTTTAGACCTGGTTTAGACCTGGTTTAGTCCTGGTTCGGTTCTGGTTTAGACCTGGTTTAGTCCTGGTTTAGACCTGGTTTAGTTCTGGTTCAGTCCTTGTTTAGTCCTGGTTTAGACCTGGTTTAGTTCTGGTTCAGTCCTTGTTTAGTCCTGGTTTAGACCTAAATATTAATAAATAATAAATAAGATCGGGATTGGGTATTTATTGGGGAAAATTTTAAATGTAATTTGATTTTGTTTTCCGATTACAATTTTATTTTAATGATTGCAGAAAAAAGGACACAAATAATGAATAAATAGTTTTTTATAGATTTCTAAACGTCTTCATCATTACATTTGTTTGTCACATCCTTCTCCTCCTGCTGCTCCACTCACATTTTCAGATTTTTTGGACTTTTGTAGATGCAGACAGACAATAAATAATGATAATAAAGTGTCACTCAAACGTGTGAATGAAACAAAACACAACTCCAGCTCTGCTTTTGACGAGAAAATAATATTAGAACATGATTTAAACCTCACGAGAGTCGATCTTTAAACATGTTCTTGTGTTTTTTCGTCTCTTGGCTCCATGTTCCTGAATATCTTCCAGACTCACTGGCTCAGGCCAAAGCACAGATGGTTCCACAGCGTCGTGTCCTGACCTGGAGTTCGTGTTCTGTCCGTGATGCATCGTCTCCGGTGTCGTGGAGTAACAGATTACATGTACCGGAGTTATGTAATCAGAGTACAAATAATAAGTAACTGTATTCAGTTACAGTTACTGTTTCAGTGAGTGGTAATTGGATTACAGTTACTTTGTTGAAATAAATGGATTACACAGAGGGATTTTCCTGTTTTCACATTTCAGGCTGTTTTCTTTTTTTTTTTTCTTTTTTTTCTGTAAAAAAAAAACACTAAACCAGGACTAAACCAGGACTAAACCAGGTCTAAACCAGGACTAAAACCAGGTCTAAACCAGGACTAAAGCCAGGACTAAAATAGGACTAAACCAGGACTAAACCAGGATCTAAACCAGGACAAAACCAGGTCTAAAACAGGTCTAAAACCAGGTCTAAACCAGGACTAAAACCAGGACTAAACCAGGACTAAACCAGGTCTAAAACCAGGTCTAAACCAGGTCTAAAACCAGGTCTAAACCAGGACAAAACCAGGTCTAAAACAGGTCTAAAACCAGGTCTAAACCAGGACTAAAACCAGGACTAAACCAGGTCTAAACCAGGTCTAAACCAGGTCTAAACCAGGTCTAAACCAGGTCTAAACCAGGTCTAAACCAGGACTAAAACCAGGTCTAAAACCAGGTCTAAAACCAGGTCTAAACCAGGACTAAAACCAGGTCTAAACCAGGACTAAAACCAGGACTAAACCAGGTCTAAACCAGGTCTAAAACCAGGTCTAAACCAGGACTAAAACCAGGTCTAAACCAGGTCTAAACCAGGACTAAAACCAGGACTAAAATAGGACTAAACCAGGACTAAAACCAGGTCTAAACCAGGACTAAACCAGGACTAAACCAGGTCTAAACCAGGACTAAACCAGGTCTAAACCAGGTCTAAACCAGGACTAAATCCAGGACTAAACCAGGACTAAACCAGGTCTAAACCAGGTCAAAGTAAACCAAATCAAGTAATCCAAAGTATTCAGATTACATTACTCACTTTAAATCATTTAATGGATTCTGTTACAAACTACATTTTGGAGTATGTAATCTGTAATCTGTAATCTGTAGGGGATTACATTTTAAAAGTCGCCTTCCCAACTCTGCTCATTCATTTGTTCGTTTATAATTCAGTGATCGTCTGAGCTCAGGGTCAGATTTCTGTTTGTTTAATGATTCATGGCGCGAGCTCGTTTTACAGACACTACAGTAAAATGAACAAGAACTGAACAGAAGACGTCTGAATGTTCCTGTTGAAGAGATGAGATGATCAGTTATTAAAGGGCCCATGTTACGCTGTTTTCTGGTCAATTTTATAATGTTTCCTCGTCACAAACACAGACCTGGAGTTGTGTTTTCGTTTCATTCACATGTTTAACGCACAAACCTGCACATTTACCACCACAACACGAGGAGGCGAGGGTTTAAAACTGGTGGTCGTGTAAACAAAATGAAGCAGATGAAGCAAATAAAGCGGAGTATCGGAAATGTGTGTAGAGAGGATCAATCACAGGCCTTATACACGCGTCAAGAATCTCGGACTTCAGGT